GTGTCCATTCTTCCTCTTTCCTGCTCTTTAAACTTGGTCCTGGGGCAAATGCTGTCTTTTTAAAGTCACAAGTGGTTGATATTCTAAAGTGTGTGTACCTCACTATTATTATTCTTCCCTGTACAGTGAACCCTCGTTTATCGTGGTTAATCGGTTCTAGACCCTACCGTGATAAATGAAATTCCGCGAAGTAGGATTCCTTATTTGTAAATAAAATATTTTCGTAGTTAGAGCATAGAGGACATGAAAAAACACCCTTTAGTCACCATTACACTCGTATTACCCAATTTGTTACATGAAAAAGGGAAAATACAGTAAAACATTTTGGACATTACAATTATCATTTATTATTTATTATATTATTTATGGCATCTAGTTTACAGTATTACATATTTCACATACAGTATTATTATATATAGTTCTTACAAATACTGTAATCAATAGCCTATGAAATGACTTAAGGGATGTACTCTACAGGTGGGTCGCCATCTTTTTCCTCTGAAGGAGCGGGTGTAGGCAGTGGGTGCTGTTATGCAGAAACCGCGATAGAGTGAAGCTGCGGAAGTCGAAGCGCGAAGTGGCGAGGGTTCACTGTATAGTCCTGTCTATAATTTGGATGAAAATTGACCCACGGGGTGAGTTCCGATCCAGACCTAAAGGTGACTAAGGGCCCCCAGTCTCTATCTGTCCAGAAAGCCTAGTCTTGTCTATGATTTTGAGTTTTCTTTCACAATTTTCTTCCATTGTATTTAGATTCTGTTCATGTGGTCCTTTTTAGAGCAGTTAGTAGTGGTAACTGGGCACCATCTAGTTTTTGTCTCGGAGTCATACATGCTGGTCCTCAATTACTGGAGGACAGAAGGCTCTCCTTTGTAGCACATGCAGAAGCTTTTAGGTCTGTTCTTGGCACTTGAGATGTGCTTCTGAGGTTCTGAGATTATTCCTTTCCTTGATCACATTTTCTATTGTAAGGAGGATCAGTGAACCAGCTTCCCTATACTTCTCATCCTGACAAAACTGCTGGAAAATATCAAACACACAATCACCCAGAGCCTGTCTTCTCACCATCACTTCAGCTATTGATGGTGATATTGTGGCTATTAGCTTTGCAACTTCACAACATGGATTAACACCACTCTCTCCAGGAAAAGTGGCAGACTTATTCATGATTTTAGTGGTAGAGACAGCATTCTCAGTGCTGGTAGGACTAATCAGGCTGGAGAGCCAATTTGAGAAGCCCATATTTATGATCTTGTTTCTCTAGAACCACTCCGGGTACCAATAGTGTTAGGCAGGATTCTCTAGAGAAACAAAACCAGGACACTTCTGATTATATATATGGATAGATTTATATTTATATTTGTAATTTTCTGCAGACCTCTAAGGTTAGACCTCTGAAGAAAGCAAGAAAGCAAGTAGGTGGATATACTCAACTGCAGGGGGGTCGCTGGGGTGAAAGCAGAGCTCAGTTGTGTAGAATGCTTTGACATCTTTAGCCAGTACTGGACGATTGTGTCTTCACTTCATCGGGCTCAATGTGGGCTGGGAGTAGCAGTTCTGGGAGGCATGATTTATGCTATTGGAGGTATAGTGAATACAGGTGTTAATAATGTCCAGGAGTTGATTGTTGCAGCAGACTGAAGTTGTTCATCTTTGCTGTGAATTTCTGAAAGGACAAATTGATCCATTGAACTGCATTGGGAGTTTTCAGTTCTCTGAGCAAATTGCCTGCCACAATCTTCTGGAATTCACAGAAAAGTGCATTCATGTCCATTTCTTGGAGGTTCATAGTGGGGAAGAGTTCCTGACACTTATAAAGTGGTTAAAATCAACTGGTTAAAATTTTGCGCAGTGAGGAGCTTAGCATTGAGGATGAATTCCAGGTTTTCTTAGCTGCAATGCAGTGGATTCTGAAAGATCTGGGAAAGAGAAGAAAACATGTGGTAGAAGTGCTAGACCCAATACGATTCCCTTTACTACCTCCTCCGAGGCTTTTAAAGTATATAGAAGGCGTGTCTGATTTTAATCTTCGTGTTTCATTGCAAACACTCCTGGAAGAATACTGTGAAGTGTGCAAATCTTCTAGAGGACTACCTGGCAGCCCTCAAGACTTGAAGGACTACCAGTGTCTCACAACTCTCTAACACGTTTGAATTATACTGAGTCATTTGTACTATTTTATAATTTAACTCTTTATGTCTTGTGTTATCTACTATCGATCTATCTATCTATCTAATTATTAGCAATCTGGTTTTGTCTCTCTAGAGAACCCCGTCTAACACAAGCATGAAGGAATATAATAGCTAATTAGTACCCACAGCAGTACAGAGGGCTCACTTCAGCTCTCTTTCATGGACGAGTTAATATACTAGAAGTCCTTCAACTCGCGTGGGCTGCTGGGTCCAAGGTCAAGGAAGCAGACAGCGGAGTCCTCCCTTGGGCAAGTCAGGCAGAGTCTGCCCACAGGCAGCAAACAGCAGGTGGTCACCAAAAGTCAGTAGCTGGGGAGCTTAGTGAAGAAGGCCCAGATGGGATATTGAACTCAAGCAATGCAAGGATCCACCAGCCTCAAGCTCAAGCAATGTATATGCTAGCAGCATGGCAAAGCAGGTCTCAAAGGACATGATCCATGGGTTGCTTTGGCCCTCAAGTAACTCATGGGTTGAAGCAGAGAACTAGCAGCAGTATGCTTCAGCATGCTCACTATCACCAGAGAGCAAACGAGAGGGATTGGAGCTTGCAGAGCCAATTATCTCGTTGCCCTCCAATCAACTACTACCTGATTAATCCCATATGTTCCTATTGGCCAGCTTGGCACAATAAACCTAACTATCACACTATGTGTCTTCAATGTTTACCATTCTTCATTCCTCCAGACAGGGAGAGACCAATATTTGCAGCTTAGATGGCCACTCATATGCTTTTAAGACTCCAGTGGCCATTAACCAAAGTGTACTCATATTCATATACTCAATGCCATCAAGTTGATTCTGACTTATAGTGAGTCGATTGCACTGCCATCGAGTAGACTCTGATTCATGGTGACTCTATAGGACATGGTAGAACTGCAGTTGAGGGTTTGTAATACTGTAACTCTTTACAGAAGTAAAAGCCTTGCCTTTCTCCTGTGGAGCAGCTGGTGCATTCGAACTGCTGACTTAATGGTTAGGAGCCTGTGGCAGTTACATATGTAATCTCCTGTTAACTTGAACGAAGGGGTGGAGTCTAGCCTGTCAATCAATGATGCCTCTGTGTGGGCATGGCCTTCTTCTGAGGATTCTGGGAACTCCTTTCTACCTTCCTGGAGGTAGAGCACACACTCTCTCTGCTATACCTTCCTGTTGACAAACCACATGGAGCCATGCTGATGATGGCAGCCAGAGCCCTGGAGATGGTTCCACTGCCACTGGATCCACAAGACTTTCCACCCACTGACCTATGAGCTTCCTGCATTCAGTATAATTGCATGTGTTGCATGAGTCTGAAGAGGAATTCATAGACTGGTATTGGACATATGGGCTAATATCAGATTTATGGACTTCATATGGCCTGGGCAGGGATGTCTTATTGATTACTTCTTGATATAAAGTTCTCTCTCACACATCAATGAATTTGTTTCTCTAGTCTACCCGGACTAACACAGAGCCCAAGATGTAACTATTGTGCCACCAAGGACCCTATGGTAGGATGTAAAATATTGTCTTGTGGACTGTTACGCCAGTTGGCCTTGGTGACCCTTGAGTCTATAGACCTGAGCTATCAGGTCCATCAAATCATTATCTCAAGGTACTTGGTTATGTCTAGGAAGTTCTCATAACTTTGTCCCTTGTATCATCCATCATGTTCATGGATATATTTGCAGCAAAGGTAAATACATATATAAAAATATGCTTGTGAGTATATGCCCACTCTTCCTCCCATACTCACTCCACCTACATCTTTTATCCATGCATCTGCTCTTAGATTACTGTTATTTTAAAATTGTGTATATAATATTTACCTCTGTTGCTTTTAGTTCTTGCACTCCTCCCTGTGTCTTGCCTTGCCTCTATCATGTTTTTGACAACTTTCCTCTTATTGCATATTGCCTTCCCCTTTATCAAGTTAATGAGCCATTAACTAGTGATTGACCCTTTCTTCGGTTGGAATTTTTACTTCCTAGCAATTAAACACTGCACAACCCCCCACCCTCCCGCAACAAAGCAATGCAATACTCAGTGCAACAAGACACATGGAAAAACTAACAAACAAGCTACCAAACCCACTGCCATCGAGCCTATCCTCATTCATGGAGACCTTGTAGGATATGGGGCTTCTAAGGGTGTAATCTTATAGACCCACTCTGCCTTTTCTCTTTCCTATGAAGCAACTGGTGGGATTGAACTGCTGACATTCCAGTCTCCTAGAAGGTAGCTGTGATAAAGGCTTCCTGAAGGGGTAGCCAGTTTGTCTCTGATGAATAATTGTAGAATATAGACCCAGACATGCTTGTATAGTGGGCCCATTCAATAGGTTTGGCTTTGAGAGGTCCTTTTAGAGAGAATCCAGGTAGTTTACTTGATGTGGTACTGGCATCAGCCAAATACCAGACCACCACCCCCTCCCCTTTTTAGAATCCTAGTAAAGATCTATGAGTGATGTAAATGAGTAATATGTTTGGCTATTAACCAAGGTGTGGGAGGTTTGAGTATCCGTGGAAGAAAGGGTTGGTAATCTACTGAAAATTAGCCATTGAAAACAGCTCTACTTTGGCACACATGGGTTACTGTAAGTCAGAATGGATGTCACAGATTTTTTCAAAAGCATGGGTTACAGACATTCTTAAAATTCATCTCACATACAAAAATCTACTATTTATGCCTCTAATAGTTTCCATGAAGAATATCAAGTATTATTTGTGATGTTAGGACATGTTCTTGCCTAATTTCTTACTCCTTAAAAATGACTGTTAATTAAAGTTTACCTGGTTAATTCAAGTTTGCATCTCTCTCTCTTTTTAGGTGGTTCTTTGGAGCAATCAAAAGAGCAGATGCTGAAACACAATTATTATATTCAGAAAATCGGACAGGTGCCTTTCTTATCAGAGAAAGCGAAAGCCAAAAAGGAGCTTTCTCCCTTTCAGGTACAGGCAACATTGTATGTGATTTAAGTATATGTCTGAGAGGCTACTGTCATGAACCTGTTGTGTGAACATAGACTTGTTGATTTAAAAATTGCCTTAATTCTTATCTGCACAAGACCCAAAAGAAATCTATTGGCATACTCAAATGTAATAGAAGAATTAGCAAAACATTTCTATGTAGAGCTAAAAGTCCAGATAAACAGTTTCAAATAGATGAACACTAGATAAGAAAGGAAAAAACAAAACCAAACCCATGAATCTGGCTGCATTTTCCCACCGATGCATTCTTAGAACCTTGTAAGGAGCTGAGAGGCAAGAAAAATTGACCTTGCCACATTCATTCAGTCATTGTTTCTTTCTTTGCATTTCATTTGTCTTTGTCTGGTAAATAGAAAACGAATACTAAAGGCAAATAATTTCAATGAACTCTGGGGCATGTAAAGTTTGGTTGTATGCATTTATAAGTTTTTAGTTAGAAGAATCAAGTACAGCCCACCCTAGGAAAAAGAAACAGAAGGTGTCTGAGAAAGAACTTCTAGACCTATGTCTCTCTACCGACTTTTACTCCATAAGAATCAGCATTTTAGGTGCAGTTTGCAATGCTGCAGAATGCCTTTTCTTAAAGATTCTAGCCCACAACATGCTTTCTTGCCTTGAGTTCTTCTGTTCGTTTTTTTTTTTTTTAATTTAATGCCTGTCATTTGTGTTATTTTCTTTAAAGCAAGTGTTCTGTTTCTTTGATTAAGTAGGAAACTTTGGAGAAAGAGATGAAGCTTGCTTTTTATCCTTGCTGTCTGACCACAGATGTTTATTACACATGGAAATAGCAGCAGTCTTTATGGCTCAGTGTTAAAGCAGACCCTGAGCCCAGATGTATTCGGAAGTTTGACCTGATCTGAATTCAGACTAAGATGTGTGTATGTGTGGCACCATTGTTCTTCTTCGCATCTGGGGACTCCAAATAGGAGATAGATATTTGGAGCTAGATTGTAACCACTGGAGAGAATCAAGAGCAGGGGTGTTTGGACAGATCTTTACAGACCAGAATCTCTCAGTTGCTGCATATTTTGTCCATGAGGAAATGCGGCACTCTAGAATCATGCATATTCAATTCCCTCCCTCGTTCGTGGGCAAGTGATTAAAAAGGCCTGTTTTACTTACCCTTTTTGTAATGCGCTTGAATATGATGTGCCACTAAGTTCTTAAAATGGCCTACCCCAGTGTGCGAGTCAAAGTAGTGAGTTACTGACAAGGGGCATGGGCATGAGCCATACTTATCATATGTCCCATAAATCATACCAGGGTCTATCTGTGTGTGTAGTTGAGGAAAGTTATACTTCGTGTTATACAATAACTTTTTCCCTAATCAGTAAAGACCAAAGAAAACAATCCAAGCCAGTGGTTCTTAACCTTCCTAATGCCGCAACCCTTTAATACAGTTCCCATGTTGTGGCGACCCCAACCATAACATTATTTTTGTTGCTACTTCATAACTGTAATTTTGCTACTGTTATGAATTGGGTGACGCCTGTGAAAGGGTCGTTCGACCCCCAAAGGGTCGCGACCCACAGGTTGAGAACCACTGGTCTAGGCTATCACCTTCTGACGATATATTATTGATAATGAAATGGGTTTTTGCCAGGCTTTTACTACGGCTGACTCACTTATACATATTCGTTCTCACACACAGAGAAAAAATATGCTAATTTTGACACACACACACACACACACACACACACTTACCCATTTTTTTTGTTCCTGTAGTACCCGGGAGCACTTCTGCATGTCCTTTAATAACTTTTCACTGTACAAGTGCACCATCATGTATTCAGTTGATTTCACATTTTGAACACTTTCATTAAGTTTCCTATTCTAAATAATGTGGCAGAGATATCCTTATAGATAAGTCATGGAATATTTTTTTAAATTTCATAAGAATATATTAGAGGAAGAAGAAGAAATAAGAATCTTATTGAAATCTCTTTGCTAAGTGGTAGCAAAGCAGAGCTGAAGAGAATTCCTTGCTTAAATGCATCCCTGTGTGTTGGTTTGTCTCGTGCCAAAATTTATATATGGCAATTAGATAGCCATTACTTAGCCAGAAGCTACACTAAAAGTATTTAAATTAGCAGTGAAATATAGACACACTAATATTTTCATTAGGGAAACATACTAAAAGTAGCGTTACCTGTGCTGTGTCTTTGAATAATTCCCCAGCAACAGTGATTGTTCTGAACATTCCCTAAGTAGAATATTATGGAACAAACCAGCTTTACAGGCTTAGAGCAAAATTACAAGGCTATTGGCAGTTATGTGCTGTGAATACACTAGGGCTTGCTTATGGATTTAGGGAGCTTATGTTGGCCTTGCTTAGAGACCAGCATATCATTAGAGATTCTTTTTCAATGAAGTCAAACAATTGAGAGTCTTTCAAACAAATTATCTGATTGCTGTGTATTCACTAGGGGACAGAGTAAATGCATACCATTATGTTCTACTTACAGGAAAATCTCCTTATTAATCAGAGGGAAGGCAATACAAGAGAAAAATGGAAATAAAATGATCTTCAAAGAATCTCTTAAAACAAACAAACAAACAAACAAACAAAAAGGCAAACAAACAAATAAACTCGGTTGCTGACTTGATTACCAGGAAGGCTCCTCAGCTATCCCACTCATAGATTTATTTCTTTGTGCGATTGTCTCCTGATCAGTCAGAATGGATGGTCTTCAGATTTGCTGACTGCTGTGCTGCTAAAACGAGCCAGCTAATATCCCCTTTCTATCTCTGTCTTTCCCACATGAGCTTTCCTTAGAAACATTGTCTTTATTCCTTGGGTGGTGGTGGTGGCTTGCGGCTGTCACGGAAGAGCTTCACGAGGGAGCATGATTTATTGATATTACTGCGGGCTCTGAGAAACAGCAGCCCAAGGTTGGGTTGGGTGCTAATTGGGTTGTTGTGATCCTTGGGTGGCTGGCTCTTGTGAGGTCTGAGTAGATCCGGGAGGAGAGTTCAGGCCATGACACCTCTCATAATGGCAAGACACTAATTAGCTGTGAATTACGGCAATGCTTTTGGATATTACATATCATATGTGGTATCCAGAGAATCTATCTTCATTAGATGCATGACAGGTAGTTTTAGTGGCCCTACTGTTATTTGACATTGGCAGCAAATTGTTTTTCTGATGGAAAATTTAAAGTTCCAACTGCATGTCAATTGGTCGGGCAGTTTCTTGATTTCAATTAATTAGAAGGAAAATTTTATTGTGATTGTCATTAATATTAATTTGGTGTTTGTGACTTCTAAGCATTTATATCATTGTTTCAAGTACACTTTAAGGGGAATGTGCTTTGAGACCTAACCATGAGCTGCAGGTGATTTTCCAAAGGTCTTCTGCCTGTTGACTTTGTGACTTTCCTTCAGGCAACTGCATAGAAGAATAGATGGTGGAGTAGAGAGAGTTTCAGATTTTGCTGCAGTGAAAATCTTTTAAGAACAAATAACCCTTGGAACATAGGTGAGCAGTGTCAAGTAGGAGACACAAGGCAAAAGGCTCAGTGACAATATTTTTAGAGAAGCACCCCGGAGTTGAGTTTATTTATGTATATATTTGTTGACTTTCAACAAGCATGCCAACTACCTATCAGGGAGTTGGGTTTGCTGACCAATAGAGCTTGCGTTGGATGCCTTCAGGTTGAAGCTTCCAGTGTGTGGTATGAAACGGTCATTGCCTTTGGGCCTGTATTAGCAGACCTGAAAGAACTTTGTAATATGACCAGAAAAACAACTCAACCCTGAGCATTTCTAGCATTTCTCACTGGCATTACAACTTGTTATCTTCCTTAATAACTCCTTTAATTATGCATTTGCCTGTGAGTTCTGTTTATTGCAATGGTTATTAGAACCCAGAGAGGGCACATAGAGAGCATGAATTAAGACATCACAGGTGGCACCAGACCAAGGCTCAGCTAGCTATGCTAAGGCTCTGCTCCAGCACACGGTAACCTTATGCGATACAGGGTCTCTGAGGTACTTTCTTTTGTATCTTAAATGGAGCACATATGGGAGTGAAGACTGCTTTGGGTCTCAGCAGTTTGAGCTTCCATATCAAGGATTATAGGATTGTTTTGAAAGCCCAGTACCTATGGACTATGGGAAACTGCTATGGGAAACTTCCCTTACATGCACGAGGAAATCGTGGAGGCTGTGAGAAGCTGAATTCAGCCACAGCTTCTTTTGCTGGGACTGGAAGATGATGGTGGGTCAGGCCCAGTGAATCTTGTGCCATCAATCTAGAGAGAGCTCCAGGATTGTCTATTAGACGTCTTTACAGAGGATAGCCTGAGCCAGGACTGAGGTATGGCACATAGAGAGACTGCACACGAGACATTTTACAAGGTAGAATTAACAGAAATTGAGGATGGACCAGAAATGGGCACAATAAAGGAGAATGAAGAATCTATATTAGCTTTCAGACCTCTTTCTTAGATGACAGGGAGACCGTCATGGCTTTAGCCAAGGAAAGGGGTGATTTGCAGAAGAAAAGAAGGGGTAGAGGAATATAAACTCAGAGCTGTTTGAGTCCTTGTGGGCTGACATCCAAATAGCCGTTATTATTACTATTCTACCGTTACTGAGTTGTGAGCATGGAACTCACTGTGATACAATTCCATTACAGAGGTAGGGTGGAGTGTGCAGGGCTTCGACAAGAGTAGTTTGTGGTCGCTGTTATGCTCCTTCTTGAGAATAGGAACCAGGACTTTGCCGTGATGTAATTCAGTTTTAAAATAATATACTAGAACTTTTAGATCCAGATAAACATTTAATTGCCAAAGTAATTGATTTCCGTGGTTCAAATGATTCTACTTTTTTTAGAATTGCCTTCACAAAAGAATATCACTTTAGAACCTTACAAGGGACAATTACTTGTTCATTAAGAGCAGCTTTGATACTCGGATGTGGCCACTTATTTGAAGCAACTTATTCAATAATACGGG